TATATATATATCGTGAATCCGGTTATAACGACGCCCTGAGGACCGTCGCTATACCCGTAGGACGCTTAAACAAGAAGGAGCAAATAAAAAGGATTTTCTTTTCTTTTTATATGTGTATATATACAGTCGACTCTCGTTATTTAAAGCCTGCGATATTTCGAACTTCTCAATAATTCAAAGTAATCAAAAATATTTTCTAAGACGCGGTAATTCGTACTCATGTGGTGTGTTTGTACGAATTTTGAATTTGAGTTTGGGGACTCTCCTGAAACTACGATTTCTGTGCCTGGTTGCGTGTTATACATTAAACGTAGGCACATTTTGAAGCTTGCTTCCGCACTAATCGCTTCATTAGTATACATATTAAAATTTTTTATTAAATATGATTCCTAAAAAGTATAAAAGTTTGACGATTGCTGAAAAGACAAAATTAATTGAAAAAGTAGAAGGAGGGGAGAAGAAAAGCAACAATGTGCTTCGGACCAAACCCTTATAAATGAGTTCTGTTCTAAGGTTAATTAATTTGTACATACATTACAAGTACGTAAAATATTATTTTCTCTAAAAAATTTTGAGCCATTTAATATTTCGAACATTCAATAATTCGTAGTAGTTTAAGAGTCTTTGAATTTCGAAATACCGAGAGTCGACTATATATATATATGTATATATATTTGTATATTTTTACAATATTGATTTTACACAATATTGATTTTAGTTATCGAATTAATTGTAATAAATAATAAAACGGAGAGAAAATTGTTAATAAATTTACTTATATATAGATATATACAGTTTTTCTCTATTCTTTCTATAGTTTTAGGGACAGATGACATTGGACATAGCAGCGAATTGGTGCTTGTTTCGCAGCATGATTCCTTTCGCCAAACGGATTTTCGAAATAATAGTTTGCACTTTGATGGAAAATCATTATTAAAGCCGCCAACAAAGATGTGAGTAAAGTTTTGAGAGGATCGCTGTCCGGTTTCTGATTTTATAATATGTATTTTAAAAACTTTCTGCACAGGGAAGGGAACGCAAATAATGCATTGGAAAGCACAAAGCATTTGGAGGAAAGTGTTTCACAAGATTTGGTTAATTGCATGCAAAATTTAAGACAAGATCGATCAAATGTTCAACCAGAACCACCGATGGATAGGAAAAATATGGCACTGATGTCGGGAAATGGCAAGTCCCGGCGGTGGGAACAGAAACTAGTTCAAATTAAGACAATGGAGGGCGAATTTAGTGTTACAATGTGGGCATCGGGTACATCGGACGATGAGTATTCCAGTTCGGATCAAAATGCCGACGAAGTTGACTATTTAATTGGCAATGAAAGTGTGCTAAATTCCGAACAGATAAAAAAAAATGAAACAGTATTACAGCAACAACAGCAGGATCAATTATTTTTTCAACAGCAGCAAGAACAATTTCTACAACTACAGCCTCAATTAATTCTCTCGATGAATGGGGCAACAACGGCAGCAGCAGCAGCAGCATCAGCAGCAACAGCAGCAACAGCAGCAACAGCAGCAGCAGCAGCAGATAAATGTAATCTTAGTTCAAAAAGAAATTTATGTTGTGAAACACAAATATCATCGTATGTAGCCATATCCCAGGGACGTCGCCTAATCAATGAAGAAACTCTGCTGGTTGATAACAATCAATCATTAGGGCCAAATGATGATTGTGATATAAATAACGATGTCACTACTGCATCAGCATCAGTAACTTTCGGTATAACTCAGTCGCATGGTGATGAATGCAGTTAACTTTATAATTTTTCATTTATTTGATATATATAGCAACAGCACCGGCAACAGCAGCCCCAGGGACAGCAGGAGCACCCCCAATAACAACAGAATCGGCTGAGTCAGCGGATACCACCGACTTTGCACAATTTGGCAATGATAAAAAGATCCCCTGTCCACATAAGGGCTGCCATAAATACTTTCGTGATTCATCCGCAATGCGTAAACATTTGCATACACACGGACCTCGCGTTCATGTCTGCGCTGAATGTGGCAAGGCATTTGTTGAGAGCTCAAAACTGAAGAGGCATCAACTAGTGCACACGGGCGAAAAACCATTTCAATGCACATTCGAGGGTTGTGGCAAACGTTTCTCATTAGATTTTAATTTAAGGTAACACCACCTATCCACCTACCGTTGTAAAAACTTTATATGTTAAAACACATTGTTTATTATACCAGAACGCACGTGAGAATTCATACTGGAGATAGACCTTTTGTATGCCCGTTCGATGCGTGCAATAAAAAGTTCGCTCAGTCGACAAATTTAAAATCCCACATCTTAACACATGCAAAAGCCAAGTAAGTAATGTTTCTATAAAAACAATCGATCGAATATATATATTTAATTCATGTAATTTCAGGCGAAATACAGCCAATCCGCGCCATAACATTTGCCCCAACAACGAGCCTCTAAGCCCCAGTGGGGAAAGCTCTACAAACTTAATAAAAGTAGAATCGCGTGATACAACTATGTCAGAAACCCAAGCACCATTTGTAATGTATGCCGACTAAAATATTCGTGTGTATATAAACAGAACACTCAAAATCTTGTGTAAGCTTATATTCGTAAGGTTTTATATATTATATACAGCAGATATATATTAAAGCACAACAAAAACATAGTATGTATATATGTAGCTACGTACCTAAGTTATTTGGTAAGAAACATTTATTTTCTCATGAAAAGTGTCATTAAATGGAACGAAAATTAAACGCAGTGTTTATATTGCGAAACGAATCGAGGAAATGAAATAATGGTAAACACATTACAAATTTACTATAAGTGTGGGCAGTACTATGGACTTACTTTGCAACTTAATTGTTTAATAACTTTTCTAGTGGATGGACTTTCTTCATAAAACTTTTAGAAGATTGTGTTTTTATCATTAAAATGCGTGCATTTGCTAAAGGGGCTATCCACAGACGAATTTGTTACACGAACATGTTCGCCGAGTTTGTCTATTAACTAAGCGAACATTTTCAGGAACATCATTCTAAAACAAATTTTGGACTGTGAACATGCCAGCGGAAGAAACCAAAATCGAGCTTAATGGCAATGAATGTTTATTTAAAGACAATTTACTTTTGCTTTGACGACATTAATTGTGGCGTTTATTGTGCAACTTTTTATTTTGATAGCCGGCTCATTTTGGCCTATGTTGTGGTAAATTTATAAAAATGATGTTCGTGCGAACACTCGAATCCATTGTCGAATATGTTCGTACGAACACCCGTAAGATAGAAACATTTCTATTTTTATGCGAATACAAACGTCGAACAAAATGTTCGGTCGAACACTCCTATCTACATTCGAATATTTGACGAACACAACATGTTCGTGTAACAATTTCGTCTGTGGATAGCCACATTAAAACACAAGTCTATACTATTTGACATACACCTTTTACAAATTTGTTGGTGAAGGGGTGGGGGCTAAATTTTAATAAAATTCGAAATTCAATAAGTATATATGAGCTACATTTAAAATTTGGAGACTCTAGCTCTATATAGGAGATATAATAAAATAACTTATTTTCGGTAAGGTTTTTAGTCGATAAAAAAAAGCGGAATGAGTTCTCCATATGTCCGCTACATATGCGGAGTCTCTAGCTCTTACATTTTCTGAAAGCGGCACTTTCAAACATACTGACAGACGGATCGACGGACCGACAGACAGACGGACAGGGCTAAATCGACTTATCTCGTCGCCCTGATCAATAATGTATATACTCTGTGGGGTCTGCCACGCCTCCTTCTGCCTGTTACATATGTATGTACATTTCAACAAAAGCATTATACCCTGATTTCCCATTTTCAATGGGTTCAGGGTATAATAAGCAGAAAATTATCTAGAAGAAATATTTCAATTTCTCAAGCTGTCCACTGTAAATATATATTTATTTAATTTTTTTATACCCTGAACCCATTGTATGTATGAACGCGTCGATCTCAGAAGATATAAGAGTTAGAGACTTGAAATTTTTATACCCTGAACCCATTGAAAATGGGAAATCAGGGTATAATGGTTTTGTGAAAAGTATGTAACAGGCAGAAGGAATCATCGCATATAATAAAGTATATATATTCTTGATCAGGACGACGAGCTGAGTCGATATAGCCCTGTCCGTCTGTCCGTCCGTCCGTCCGTATGAGCAAAAGGATCTCAGAAGATATACGAGCCAGAGAGCTCAAATTTGGCATGCATACTCGTGTATACCATAGGCAGTACAAGTTTATCATATTTTTTCGATAACTCGTCCGATAACTTTTTTATCGTAAATAATCGAAAAATCGGCATTGCTTTTTCAGCCTAATTTGAACACTTTTAGACCTGGAGACTTCAAATTTGCGTTGTATATAAAGTTAATGGATACAAAGATTTTGTTATTTACAGATTTTGGATACCACGCCCCATTCGCCCCCAATTTGTAAAAAACGCATTTCAAGTAGTAGAGACTTGTGCTTTGGAATNAATTTATACATATATATATATACTTACTGCACTGTCTTCAAATTCAATAGAGTCTCGTCTATTGTAAACATCTTCTAAATGGAAATTCAAGTTTTTGTTGTCAATTACGTTTTGTTTGTGAAATGGAGATCTAAGATTGGCTGGTGGTAATTTGAGATTGTTTTCAATATCATTGGGTAGTTTCCAGGTCTTGAGATCATCATTCCAAAGCGAGTTTTCCAATATATGTTCCGCATTCCTGAACAGAATAAGAGAACAAGTAAGAAAGCTCTAGTCGAGATTGCTCGACTATGAGATCCCCTAAGCTCTTTTCTGCTGACACAAGAAACAGCACAAGGATAGGCATACGCACGATAGGCATAAACACACATCGTAATGCTATTGGATTGATTGCAGTGTGGTCTTACTACGGGAACTTAATTGCATAATAACATTTTTGCTGGACTATCTTTATGAAGCTTTCAGATGGTGATAACATTAATATGAGTTCAATTGCCAAATCTCAAGTATCTAGTAATTTTACAGATTTATTGGTGAGGGGTGTATATAACAATATGAATCTACATTAAAGATGCACCAGATAAAAATGTATTACTGATTTTCTATAATGGTTTTAATTGGTAACAAAATAACGGGACAAGTTATCGACAAGTTATAGACACAGACTTAGGAAAAAATTTCAAGTCTCTAACTCTTATATCTTCTGAGATCGAGGCGTTCAAACATACGGACAGATGGACAGGGCAAAATCGACTGATGACGAATATATATGCTTTAAGGCGTCTGCCACGCCTCCTTCTGACTGTTATATACATTAAACAGAGCCATTATACCCTGATTTCCCATTTTCTATAGGTTCAGACTATAATAAAATGTACAGTTCAGTAAAACTGGAAAACACAATTTTTTGTTACCAGTTTCGCCCAGTTTTTCTTAGAATCGGTTGCGCTTTGCAAAAGAGAAGTTGATAGAACTTTAAGTGTCGACCTAGTTGCCGAATTTCGTCTAAGTAATCCTCACGATCCATTTGAAATTCTGAGTTCAGATCAGAGACTTCACGTTCGAGCATCTTGATCTTCTGGGCATACTTCTTGATGCGTTCGTTTTTCATATTGATTTCCTGCTGAATGCTGGCGTAGTGACCTTGGAGCAGATCCCGATCCTCACTCTCCACACGACTCAAAGCATGGGCAATGGCACTCAAATGTCTCTTTGCCTCCAATTTACGCATTCGATGACGCTCCTGGAGTTGCAGGTCGTCAACTCTTTCGCCACCTATCAGAGCCTGTTTGATTAGATCGATTCGTTTGCGTGCATGCAACTGAAAGTCTTCGTTGATGTCTTCATTGATGGCTTCGTTTGATTGTTCACTTTTTGCAACTGGCGGGATATCCTTCACCTCGTCGATCATCTGCTGTCGCACCTTGACTTTAGCCTCTTCCAACCAAAGCTCCTTCTGCTTATTGTTGTCCTCAACAAACTTATGCAGTACAACACTTTCATGTTGCTGGCTCTCATCGAGCATACGCTTCAAATTGAGGATCTCCTCTTGATACTTTCTTAATTGAGCATCCTTCGGATCCTCATTGATTCGAGGCGCATTCGATATGTTCTTCGCTCGACAGGCATACCGCAGCGTAGACAATGTCTCGTCGTAGTTGCTTGCAGCCGGTGAAATGCATGCAATCATCAACGTCTTTGTGTTACCTCCTAAGGAATCCTGAAATAATATCGATTACACTATTCAACAAAATTTGCATTTTCTACTGATTTTTGATGAGCTCGAAAGTGCATGAAGACTATCGTAATGCTGAACGATTCTTCAATTTGTGATATCTACAAACCTAAATAGTACCATGCTTTAATGCAAGAAATCTGTTAGACACTTCAAGTGCAATGTTTCATTATTCTGAAGCGCCGTGGAAAAATAGTTTTAAACAAGTAAGAAAACTCTAGTCGAAAGTGTTGAGCTAGATACTACCATGAACTAAACTAATAAAAATGCCCATTTAAAAATATAAATGAAATAGAAAACTCATTTAATAAAATATATAAATATTTGGAAATAATTAAAAAAATTAACATCAGTTGCAGGCTCTGGATTTGAACCCGCGACTTCTCGATCGAGTGTCACGCCGCTACTCACTAGGCCACCTACTTTCGAAGGTCCGTTGGCAAAACTAAAATAATTTCACTGGTGCTGCGCCATCTAGCAGATTCTAAAATTTGTTCTAGAAGAAGTTTGAATGCATGTGTGCACACGTATACGAAGACTGTTGAAGCTGCTGCACGTGCGTTTATTAATTGGCCAAATAATTTATTATTTTTTAACGTTGATTGACTTAACGGGATTTAATGAAACTTTCAGAAAATCATCTAGATATTTTATTAAATATTTAACAAATTTAAAAAAATTTAAAATCATTCACAATTAGCTATACCACTGACCACTATCTCTGGTCATACTGGCATTTGACTTGAACTTGCTTTTATTCGATAAAAACATAACGGAATGATTTATCGAATTTTAAAAGCAAACTCGATATCCGCGTCATATATAAGGTCATTTAAAAAAACAAGTAAGAACGTAAGAAAAGGGGGTGAATTATAAGTGGGGGATAAATTTTGACAAAAACCGAAATTGTATAAAATGCATATAAGTATACATAAAAGAGAGTGGTATAACGATAACGTTTTTAATCGATTAGAAAATAACGGGGAAAGTTATCGATAATAAGCAAAGCTCTATATGCTCGTGCTATACACGGACCTAGGAAAAATTAAAAAAAAATTCAAGTCTCTAGCTCTTGTATCTTCTGAGATCGACGCGTTTAAACATACGGACAGGGCCAAATCGACTCAGATCGTCGCCCTGACCAAGAATATATATACTTTATGGGGTCTACCACTCCTTCTTCTGCCTGTTACATACATTTAACAGAACCAATATACCCTGATTTCCCATTTTCAATGGGTTCAGGGTATAAAAAACTGCTGTACACAAGCTCTTGTAGGCTCACACTGTGTTTTCAGTATACACAGTTTAAACACACCTGCAGTAAACGCGTCAGCTTGGAGTCTCTGTATGGTACATGTTTTGTTTTACCGTCAACTAGGGCTGATATCACATTTCCCAATGCGGATAGTGATAAATTGATCTTTGTCGCCTCCTTCAACCGCTCTCCGAATGCTCCAGTCTTACACTGCCTTTCGGAACCGGCTAAGTCGACCAGATTCAGTTTGCCCCTACGTATTCCTCCGATAACTGGTGTCCCTGGCGAGTCGCCCACTGTCGATGATTCCTGAATTTGCTCCAGACTTATTGTGAATATTGTGTGAGATCGAGAGCTCTTCTCGTTCATTAATGTTGCGGCTGTTATTCGATTTTTGTTGCCGACATTTAGCCAGTTATAACAATCGGTTGCATTCATCACAGCTTGACTAGTTAACGTTGGTACTATAACACCCACGCCTGGTATATCCTTCAGCACATGATTCCTTATCCCAATCGATTCATTCGCGCTTAACAGATCTCTTATATTCTCATTATAAATCTCCAAATAGCTCACTAAAGCCAAATACCTAACGCTCGTTGCTATTGAGATCGTTTCAAATATATGATCGAAGCATCTCTGTATGATGCCGCAGTTATCGACGGCTCCCGAATATCCTTCACCCTGATGAATTACAAAAGCGTTGAAAAGTAAGAGAGGGAGTGCAGGAGAGAAATATGTTCTTATAGAGTAAAATTACCTGCATAGTATGTGTTTTGCCACATCCTGTCTGGCCATACGCAAATATGGTTCCATTGTAGCCCTCCAAAGTGCTCTCCACCAAAGAGTAGCACATATCGTTGTAGATCGTGTCCGTCTTTGAGAGACCATCATACACGCTGTCGAACTGAAATATTTTTTTCGGTGCACTGCGAACCAAGGGATTTACAACCGCAACAGTGTAGTCTCCAGTCTCTAAAATAGTCTTTACAAATTGAAAAAAGTATTAATTTTTCGAGTAGCTAACCTCCTCCTTTAGATCTATAACTTATATCAGGGACCGTAATGATTATAATTTTTATAGTAAATATTATAAAAACAAGAATTATT